CCCCCCCCCCGGAAACTCCTACCAAGCTTTTCTGAGATTTCATCTGAAACAGCAAATTTGTGTTTAACACAGAGGAAGAGGAATTAACAAATGCCGATGTCTGCTGAGAATAAAACTACAAAAGTTTTGGTTAACTGCCACCCAGTAAAAGTCAAGACTTTGTAGCAGAGGAAATCTTGCCTGCTCTCAGCCTCCACTCCTCCCTATATCCCTTCTACACTTCTTTTCTGACGCAGCGCAACTCCTGTTCTGCGATTGTATTAAGGTGTGCAGCTTTCATTTAAATAGGCACCTTGGTTTTTGCATTTATAGCTGAGAAACTAGACATGCACATGTGTGTGTGTGTCAGCGAGAGCGAGAAAGAGTGGGTGTGTGAAAGGTAGTGGTCGGGGGGAAGGAGGGAGGAAGGGGTTCCCGAGTTATGCTTCCATGGAAACAGTCTACAGCATTTGCAACTATCTCACACATGGGTTTGTCTTTTCGCTTTGCAGACCTAAAGATATCTTCTTGCCTCCTCTCCCTCCCCCCCAACAAGTTTTACTTTTGGAGAAAGAAAGAAAGAAAGAAAGAAAGAAAGAAAGAAAGAAAGAAAGAAAGAAAGAAAGAAAGAAAGATCTAACAGCTGAACTAGAAAAGAAAAGAAAAGAAAAGAAAAGAAAAGAAAAGAAAAGAAAAGAAAAGAAAAGGTTTTTTTTCTTTTAAGTTTCACAGAAGTTGGAAAGTGAATGGTAATATTAGCCCACTGATAAAGGAGGTGGCTGACTCAGTTGTAATAATCAGTCCAGGTGACAACATTCTCCAGTAGAACACCTATCCAGAGCTTACCTGTGTGCACCTGCCCCTCCTCCTGCCTCTCTGTTATTAATTCCCAGGAACGTTTCTCTCCGCCCCTCCTCCTCCTCTTCCTCACTGCAGTTCAGCTCTGACACGAGTGAGCCTCCCTCTAAGCTCTGTGTGTGTGTGTGTGTTTTCCCTGGTTCTGTTCCTCCAAGATTCTCTCGCAGAGGGTGGGTGGGAGCGAGGGAAGGAGGGAGGGTGGGAAGGAGGGAAAAATGACAACAATAACGTCTTTATCTGGCAGCCAAGCTCCTCAGGATTTAATCCGCACACACGTCCTGCCTACCGACGGACTCGCGTTTAATAACATTTCCTTCTGCTGCGGAGGCAGTTGAGAACTGTGTTTTTAAACAAAGCTAATTACCAAATAGATGTTTTGGGTGTTTTTAGAAAGACCTCATCTTTCACCATGGCCTGCAGTCAAGAAAGCACTTAAACTAAGCACATGTTTAACTTACAGCACATGCATTGCGTTCAGTGGGAGCCACGCACATAATCAAGGGTTATGAGGATGCTCTCCTGAATTGGGGCCCTTCAGTTTTCTCTCTGCGCCCTGCCAAAAGCAGCCAAGCAATTGCTGGGCTCTTGGTGCCGGCTCACACATAGCAGGGAAAAGTCCTCCAGGCTTTACTGCCTCCCCGATTGTTATTATTTACCCTAAATCCTCTTGGGATTTAATAAAAAGAACCAAGGGGAAAGAAGGGACTTGTAGTGCTTTTTATCTGTAAAGGAAATGGAGGCAGACAGCATTTGCACAAAGCAACTTAGCCTTCCGCCACCATTACCCTGGAGGGGACCCTGTCCATAGACAGTGACAGCCACCCCGGGGGTCCCAGCCCATAGATCGGACAGCCCCCCACGTGGACCCGGTCCCCAGTGCAGGAGACAGTTCTGAAGGGCATGTAATTGATAGACTGTAACAGTCCCATCAGGGAACCAAACACTCATATAGACCAGACAGCCCCCCATGGGGACCCAGCCCACAGACTGTTACAGCCCCCCTGGGGGACCCAGCCCATAGCTCAGTTCAATCCTTCAGGAGGAAGCAGTGCAGAAAGAAGGGGGCCAGTGGGCTGTAGTGGGAGGGCACTGGACTAGATGACCTCCTGAGGTCCCTTCCAACCCTGATATTCTATGATTCTATGATCTTGTCTCTATTCTCATCTCTCCCAGTGACTTACCGCCAGCCTCTTTGCCTCTCTGCACCTTACTTTCTCCATCTGCACAACAGGGCTAATGATACTGCCACTCCTTCCTAGGGTGCTCGGAGAGCTAGAAATGGAAAGAGCTAAGTGTTCCCAAGAAAGGGATCCTAATCAACAGAGCATGGCGGCCCCAAGAGGGAGCTGGCTGATAGACAGGAAGTGGAACCTAACCATGCTATGAGTCAACAGTGTGCCCTTGTTGCCAAGAAGGCTAACAGCATTTTGGGCTGTATAAGTAGGAGCATTGCCAGCAGGTCGAGGGACGTGATCATTCCCCTCTATTCGGCATTGGTGAGGCCTCATCTAGAGTACTGTGTCCAGTTTTGGGCCCCACACTACAAGAAGGATGTGGAAAAATTGGAAAGAGTCCAGCAGAGGGCAACAAAAATGATTAGGGGTCTGGAGCACATGACTTATGAGGAGAGGCTGAGGGAACTGGGATTGTTTAGTCTGCAGAAGAGAAGAATGAGGGGGGATTTGATAGCTGCTTTCAACTACCTGAAGGGGGGTTCCAAAGAGGATGGATCTAGACTGTTCTCAGTGGTACCAGATGACAGAACAAGGAGCAATGGTCTCAAGTTGCAGTGGGGGAGGTTTAGGTTGGATATTAGGAAACACTTTTTCACTAAGAGGGTGGTGAAGCACTGGAATGGGTTACCTAGGGAGATAGTGGAATCTCATTCCTTAGAGGTTTTTAAGGTCAGGCCCATCGGGCCATTTATCCACACCATTTAGGGGTCCACATAATACCGTTTATTCTTGCATGTATTTATTATTTTGAGTCACAGCTTGCCAGGGTTATATCAGCATGAATCATAGAATCATAAAATATCAGGGTTGGAAGGGACCTCAGGAGGTCATCTTGTGCAACCCCCTGCTCAAAGCAGGACCAACACCAACTAAATCATCCCAGCCAGGGCTTTGTCAAGGCTGACCTTAAAAACCTCTAAGGATGGAGATTCCACCACCTCCCTAGGTAACCCATTTCAGTGCTTCGCCACCCTCCTAGTGAAATAGTGTTTCCTAATATCCAACCTAGACCTCCCCCACTGCAACTTGAGACCATTGCTCCTTGTTCTGTCATCTGCCACCACTGAGAACAGCCTACATCCATCCTCTTTGGAACCCCCCTTCAGGTAGCTGAAGGCTGCTATCAAATCCCCCCTCACTCTTCTCTTCTGCAGACTAAATAAGCCCAGTTCCCTCAGCCTATCCTCATGTTGGTTTTTTCTCACCACTTTGAAAGAGGATCAGGGTGGACATTGCCAGATGGAAAAAGACAAAAACAATAAGGAAAGAAAATATTATTTTATGCCATGGAGCTTTATATTGAGCATTTCAAAAATGTAAAAGCTCCAAAAAGCAGCCAGGCTGAATCCCTTGCTAAATTCCTCATTGAAGGTCATTTCTGTTTGGAAGCAAAATAGGACAATCTAATGCAATACTGTTGATTGGAAGTACTCCAGGAGCCCCTATGGATCCCATCCAAGATCAGGGCCACATTGTGCTGGGTGCTGAGCTAACATATAGTAAGAGACAGTCCCTGCCCTGAAGCGCTGACAGTCTAAACAGACAAGAGGTAAAGGGTGGGTGGGGAAACTGAAGCATAGAGAGGAGAAGTGACTTGCCCAAGGCCAGCGACAAGGCCAGAGCCAGAGCGGGGAATACAACCCAGGTCTCATGAGTCCAGTGTCCTAACAGTCTCTCATTTAAAATACTACTAAACTCAACACCTGAAAACAGCTGACCTGATTGCTTTGACAATCTGACAGGCACAAATTTTGCTCTTGACCAGAGACTCAGTCTGGATATTACATGTGCGTTTTGTTGTGGCGGGACGAGGCGATTGCTCCTGACAAGGTGGAAGGCATGAAGGAAATCAGCTGTTGTGAATCTGCGCGTATGAGTCGGTGGAAGGGAGGGTGGTTCTTTGAGGATCCTCAACTCAGAGGCTCGCTGCAAAGATTCCCAGTGGTTGCCGTTGCTTTTCCTTCATTGTGTTTTTCATGCGACTCGGCTCATCCTTAAGAGTTGGATGGAAAAAAAGATAAAGGGGCAGGGGTGGGAGAGGGGGTGGAATGAAAAGATGAAAAGTCAGCAAGGCGTGTGTGTGGGGGGAAATCAGCATCTGTCCTTCGTTCAATAAAGTTTGCAGAGCAAATCGCCTTCTTTACAGTGTAAACAGCTCCTCAATAACCTGAGCTGGAGAACATGGGACTGGCTGGCGGTGCTGGGGAGAGAGTCCAGCTCCCTATTGTAACAGCAGCTCTGTCTCTGTCAGAGCGGCATCTTTCTCTCCCTCTTTCTATTGCACTCACACGCCGTGCACAACTCCAGCTCTCCCACCTCCCTTCTGCAACCCGAATGAGCTCTGTAGCACATCCTCAGTGCGGATGGCGGGCATCCCTGGGGGTCGGTCGGTGCACTGCAGCTGGATGTAATTTGGGGGCTGCCGACTCTGCTGTTCATCCCAGCGCTAATTCCGAGCAGCAACATGTCCCCCTCTTCGAGCCCCTTTCTAATGGGTTCCAGGACAGGCCACTTCCTCATTAGGAGCCACACGGGAGACATTTGCATTAGTTAGTCCTAGGCAGTCCACCAGACACTCCCAGTCTTATCCTTAGTGCAGCCCATCCCACTCCACCCCATTCTGGTCTATAGTTATTGGATCCTTTAGCTTAGCCCAGCCAGCCCCCTTCAATTCATTCTAGCCCAGCTGATCCAACCCTCGTTAGCCTAGCCCAGCTCAGGCCAGCTCATAGTCTAGTCTAGCCCAGTCCACTTTACTCTAGCTCCCAGTGAAGGCTCAATTTGGTGGCCCTCATTCCACTTTCCCTTGAAGCTCCACTTGGTGGATTACCAGCAACACCATCACAGGACCTAACCAGATCAGCTACAACATCACCGGCTCATTCACCTGCACGTCCACCAATGTTATGTCATCATATGCCAGCAATGCCCCTCTGCTATGTACATTGGCCAAACCGAACAGTCACTACGCAAGAGGATAAATGGACACAAGTCAGATATCAGGAATGGCAATACACAAAAACCTGTAGGAGAACACTTCAACCTCCCTGGCCACACAATAGCAGATGTAAAGGTAGCCATCTGGGAGCAAAAAACCTACGGGAGCGGACACCCAAGTTAACTTGCGCAAATCTGTTCCTTTGTCCTG